CCTCTATAAAGAGGCCTCCCTGATAAAAAAGAGGCCTCTCCTCTATAAAGATGCCTCCCTGATAAAAAGAGGCATCTCCTCTATAAAGAGGCCTCCCTGATAAAAAGAGGCATCTCCTCTATAAAGATGCCTCCCTGATAAAAAAGAGGCCTCTCCTCTATAAAGATGCCTCCCTGATAAAAAGAGGCCTCTCCTCTATAAAGATGCCTCCCTGATAAAAAAGAGGCCTCTCCTCTATAAAGATGCCTCCCTGATAAAAAGAGGCCTCTCCTCTATAAAGAGGCTTCCCCATAAAATGTGGCCACCCTGCTAAAAAGAGCCTCCCTTGCTAAAAAGAGACCTCCCCGGACAAACAGGACTCCCTACTAAATAGAGGACTCCCTACTAAAAAGAGGCCTACCTACTAAAGAGACCTCCCTGCTACAAAGAGGCCTGCCCACTAAGAAGAGGGCTCTCCACTAAAAAGAGGCCTCCCCATTAAAAAGGGGCCTCACTACTAAAATTAGGTCTTCCCATGAAAGGAGGCCTCCCCACTAAACAGAGGCCTCCCCACTAAAAAGAGGCCTTCCTGCTGAAAAGAGGCCTCCCTGCTAAAAGGGGCCTCTCCATTAAAAAGAGGCTTCCCCAACAAAAAGGTCAGGTCAGGTTGGGGAGCATGCGCTGATGCAGCGCGCTGTCGCATCCACCACACGGCGAAACTCCTTGGGATCCTGGCTGGCGATGCCCCAAGCAGACACACAGTCTAGTCCCACACTCAATAAATGGCCATCCATTTACCACAGCCAGGTGTTATGTGGGCGTCCCCTACGCCTGGTCCAGGTGCTCAGGTCCTCAGCAATGAGGATCCTGCAAGCCGGATCACGCTTAGGGAAATGCGCCACATGGCCGTAGGGCCATAGCGGACGCTGCCTCGCAATGCAGGTAATGTGCCTCATTCAGGACTCAGGACTCCTCTAGCAACCGCTCATTCCACACAAAGTCAAACCAGAGGTACTCAAGGATTCTCCGAAGAGACTCAGTACCAAAGGGGTCCAGTCTTCGTCTCAGCTCACTAGATAGCGTCGATTTCTCACAGCCATACAGCAAGACGGGGAGCACCAGGACTGCAAAAAAATCAGGAGCGCCACAGACCCCTTTCCAGTGACCTGATGAACCCCCATGCTCTCCCAAACCATCTGCTGACATCATGGGAAGAGTCACCGGAGACATGAATGTCGCTGCCGAGGTAAGTAAATCTCTCGACAAGGCCGACATTCTCCCCGCAGACAGACACACTACTGATGGCTGGACCTAAGAAGTCAGTAAACGCCTGGATCTTGGTCTTTATCACAGACACTCGCAATCTCAGACACTCAGACTCCTTACTCAGTCTGTCAGGAGCCCTGATCAGAGGCTCCATTGGCTCCGCATTGATTACAGCATCGTCGGCAAAGTTAAGATCAATAAATCATTCTTCACCAACAAATACCCCACAACCCCTGGACCCCACGACTCTGCTCGACACCCAGTCCACACAAGTTTTGAAGAGAGTAGGAGCAAGAACACACCCCTGGTGAACCCTAGAATCAACGGGGAAGAACGCTGAGGTTCTCCCTCTGCTGTGCACAGTACCAGTGTACAGGCCGGCCATGACGTCCAGCAACTTCGGGGGATCCCGCAAAGACTCACCATGTCCCACAGGGCAACTCGACCAACTGAGTAAAAAGCTTTATAAAAATCAAGAAAGGCTGCAAAGAACCTCTGATGATATTCGCACTTGCACTCGATGAGAACCCTCAGTGCCAGAAAGCGGTCATAGTAGACTTCTTAGGCATAAAACCAGACTTCTCCGGTAGCTGACAGGTGAGCAAGTGATCTCAGATCCTGTTAAGGATGACCCTAGCAAGGACCTCACCCGGCACTGAGAGCAGTGTTATCCCCCTGTAGTTGCTGCAGTCCAGGCGATCACCCTTCCCTTTCCAGAAAGGAACTACAAGTCCCATTTTCCAGTCAGTTGTGATGACGCCTGACTCCCAAATGGAAACAAAGATTGCCTGCAATGCTGAGAGAACAGCCTTAACACCAGCCTGGAGAAGTTCACCCTGGATACCACAGATCCCTGCGGCTTTCCCTGCCCCCAGCCGATTCACCACCTGTGCAATCTCAGTGAGATGAATAAAATAAAGGCCTCCCTGCCAAAAAGAGGCCTTCCCACTAAAAAAAGGCCTCCCTGTTAAAAAGAGGCCTCACCAGTATAAAGAGGCCTTCCCGCTATAAAGAGGCCTCCCTATTAAAAAGAGGCCTCACCAGTATAAAGAGGCCTTCCCGCTATAAAGAGGCCTCCCTATTAAAAAGAGGCCTCACCAGTATAAAGAGGCCTTCCCGCTATAAAGAGGCTTCCCTGTTAAAAAGAGGTCTCACCAGTATAAAGAGGCCTTCCTGCTATAAAGAGGCCTTCCCGCTATAAAGAGGCCTCACCAGTATAAAGAGGCCTTCCTGCTATAAAGAGGCCTTCCCGCTATAAAGAGGCCTCACCAGTATAAAGAGGCCTTCCCGCTATAAAGAGGCTTCCCTGGTTGAAAATTTTTACTGATTTTATGAACATTGCAAAAAATTGTTTGTATGAGTAAACGGAAATATAGTTTAAATATGAATCTTATGTTTAAAACTTCTGATGACTCTGCCTGCAACTCTGCAGATGAAATTTCATGCCATTAAAATCACTGGTGTAATAAAAGTACATACTGTAAATGGTTGCTGTCCAATAATAAATTTTGCTTTATGTATTTAGATAACTGAATATGCTTGGCAATAAAACAAATAAATCTGCATCAAAATGTTTTGCTTAAACATAATTTACCACATTTATACACATTTGTATTTGACTTTGTATTAATTACATTTTGGAAATAATTGTTCATGATCCAAGTTTTTTTTTGATGAAATTTATAATAGGGATACCATCTAACATTTACATCAAGACTATTTCCAAGGTGTTGATATCAAACAGTCCAGGCCACTTTATGACCACTGAAGCTTGTTTGAACTGATTTCACTTTAGTAATGTTAGAAAAAAAAGAAAACTGTCCTTCCAATCTGCAGCAGAGGCCAGAAAGGTCTGGAGATCATGTGCTTGATTATAAACATCTCTGAAATCTGTCCATAATTTCTTTGTTCATTACTCTGCCAAATACCTTTGGAAACAGCCTGTCGGTGTGATGATGGATTTGTTGCCTTCCTGAGGAGAACTGGTTAAGGTATTTATGACAGAAATTTGCTGACGCTTCAGCAAATACCCCCTAGAAGACTAACTTTGAACATTGCTTATGTTTGAAACATTGACATTGTTATACAACAAAAATATTCTACTGTACCTGAAAGCTTGACTTGTGGATCAGTAACTTGACTTGTGGCTGAATGACTTGATCCCAGAGAGTATCATAAAAAAAATATGTTTAAAACTGAATATACTGATTTCTTGAAGTTCATAAATGTTTGTCAAAACCTGCATTCAACACCAGAAAGTTCTGGATATTTGTTTAACGACAGCCATGTTATTGATCTGCAATACATGACACAATCTTACAAATCTCCTTTGCAATGAAAGTAATCTAGAAATCTTGCACTTATTTATTGAACATAGCAGGATGTCCTTAAGTCCTTAAACTGCATACAATGCATCATGGACTTTAAACAACTGAATTCTTTCAGTCACTTTTAAGTCAGATAAAGCTGTACTTTGTAACCTACATACCATGACTTCTTAAAATTTGTATAATGATTTTATTTTTTTATCTTTTTAAATCATGCTAATTCTGATGGTTTAATCATGCATTTAACCAGTGAACTCAATAACTCAAAAGTGAACTTAATCCTTGTGCAAGTAGAAATGGCCATACAATAGAAAACAGGACAGCACCCTTCTTACTGAAACTACAAAGTCTCTGTGTTTATTTCTTTTTGGATTCTTATCCAAAATATCTGGAGATTTGCTTGAGGCAAAAAAAAAATCAGTTAAACCTTCAAAAACAATACTGACACAAGCTTTTGATCATATCACAGTCTTTGATTGAATCTTGGTAAATTATTGGGCTTGTGAGGCAAGTCTGAACTGGTGTCACCCAGCATAAAATGAATGTGCTGAGACTGCAGATTGTGATTAATGACTGTTTAAACCATTCCTTACCCAAAAACGAACATGAACACAGTCTACATATAAAAATGAATGTATAGTGGATATAAGAAGTGTACATACCCATGTTAAAATGCCAGGGTTTTGTGGTATTAAAAAATGAGACGACGATAAATCATTTCAAAGCTTGACCCATAACCTGTACAATTCAATTGAAAAACAAACAAATCTGTTAGGGGGAAAAATATAAAAAATGTACAATAAGCTGGTTGCATATGTGTGCACGCCCTTAAACTAACACTTTGTTGGAGCAGCCCTTTAATTACAGCGTTCACTGTTTTTTGGGTAGGAGTCTACCAGCATGCCACATCTAGACTTGGCAATTTTTGCCCATTTTTGGAGGACAAGATTCGTGCATAGGAGGAGTGAAGTAGTACTTTGCTGGAGATTAAGCAGATCGAGGGATTTATAGATACGGCTCAAGCGGAGCACAGAGCCAGATTAGATCTGGCAGTTGTTCCTCCTGCCTCGACTGTCTCCAGTCCAGCTCTGGCAGCAGCAGCCAGCATCTGGGTCACGTTCAGACAGGGTCCTAGGAGACCTAAGCCGAGAGCTCCTGCACGTGTCGGCTGCTGCGGTTAGCAGCAGATTCTCTGCTCTCGGCGGTACGTCTCCCGAAGGGAAAAGGATCTCGTGACTGGAGACTCAATTGTTAAAAATGTTAGAGTTTCTAACAATCGGAAAGCAGCGGTTTGTGAGTAAACATGGCGAGTAAATTACCTGCCTGACTGAGAGCAGCACCTAGGCCTCAGCCCTGCCACCTTAAATCGGGTTTATTCCCCCACCTTTAGATCATGTTCGGCCTGGACCCAGGTGCTCCATCACACGGCATCCCCTAAATCTAGCAGCTATTTAAAAAGAGAGTTGAGTGAGCATAGAAAAAATACTATAAGTATTATTAGACCAAGACTTAGATCTAAACGTTCCACCGGGGGCTCCTGTGTGGATAACTAAATATCAATCACATTAATAAGATTGAATGAGTCACAACACAAATGTGGACAAAATGCATTTCATGAATGATTCAATGAAATTGATTCTGTGGAACCAGGAAATGCATTTTCTCTTTTGCTGAGTCAGGAAAGGCACGGAGTAGGTGGAGTAGTACCTTCCAATGACCGGAAGGTGGGGCGGACCCGTGCAGACCCGTGTCTTTACATTTAACTCAAATTTAAATATAATGAAAATACAAAGAACTCCTGGGCTCATGCTTTTTTGTTGTATGTAATCATTAGTGTCGCTATTTTTATTATAATTTTATTATTTTTAAGCCAAGCCACTGAAAAATCTCGGCCCAGATTCCCTCCTACTGTAGGCTGTGTTACCGTGCCATTTTCCCCTGAATGACACTGTCCCCAATACTTCTGATCAGACACACTGGTTAGCCTGTGTGCAAAACTCAACAATAAAATGGTGAATATGAATGGATTAATACAAGGAGTCACAGACTGTCTGCCGATCTTCATAGAATCACTGGTGTCCCAAACTGCAGATGCAAGAGCTACAGTTACTGGACCCGCTCCAGAGTATTCAGGGGGCAGCCGGGACAGTACAGTCACTGCCCAACTGTCTGCTGTAAGAAGGTTCTTGTTTTGCTCCTAATGAGCTAGCAATTATTCTTTTTGGCATTTTAAATATGTGCTTTTGGTTTCCAAACATTTCTGTGACATGTCAGCTAAAATTGACCATTTTAAAACCTGTGAAAAAATAGGCACAAAATAGGTCATGTTTCATTTGTGAAGTCAGATCTCTTTTATTGTTTTATATTAAAAAGGCAATAATGAATATAAACAATACTCCAAATGTAAAAAATAGTAAATGTCCTTAAATGTGACATATGATCACTCTAACTTACTTTCTTAAAGTAAATCCTACACTGCATTTCTTTCAGTGCACCGTTAAAATATCACTGAAACAGCACACCATTGACTCCAGACCCAGTTGAGTTCAGAGGGGCAGCATGTGGCTCAGCAGACTAAGCCTCTGGGTTTTTAATCAGAAGGTCACTGGTTCATGCCCAGCAACACAGTCACATGTCTATGGGCCCAAAAGCAAGAACAGAACAGACAAGCAACAATGACCAGACTAGCAAGCACAGGACTAGAGAGCAATTAAATACACAGGTAACATGGGAATCTAACACATGACAGCTGGGTGTAATTACCTAGGGGGCAGGGGCACAAGGTGAAATAAACTCCAGGCATGGCTTGTTAGGGCTTGTTAGGGCCATGCCTGGGAGGAGGTCTGGGGCCAATGCTGACAGGAGGGGTAGGGAATGAACTGTAGGTTTTTTATATATATATATATATATATATGGAAGTCCCTGGAACATTTGAAGTTATTGGCCTAATGGTGAGATTGTATTCTACTGATCATGGGATTTGAACCAGCAACATTCTGATTCCTAACCCACAAAGCTGCCCCACCCTGGTCAACATTTTTATAAATTCTTTTTTGGTCAGTGCATAAGTCAAATCCCTGCTGAAACTAAACAGCAGGGATCTGCTGGTTTGGTGCTGGTGTAGCTGCACAACATATGCTGGTATAATCAGCAGGCTTTGTACTGGTCATGCTCGTAACCAGTTATGCTGGCTTTTTCAGCAGGGATATGTTCTATTTTCGATGTCTTATAAGTTGTCTGGCATCCCCTGGATTTCCCGTACATGTCACAAAAACGAAACAATAATCGTGATTTACAGTTTTCATGTTTGGTTTTAAAACAGAAATACAAGAAACCTGTTTTTTTTCTTTTCCTGATTTTCTTTTTTCCCGTTGTGATTTTCAAACATAGAAACCAGAAAACGCCGCTGATTTTTGTTTTTTCCGACTTGGTTTTGAAAAAGAAAATTCAAAGAATGCACGGTATACGGATTTAGACCCGGTTATTTTGTATTTCATGTTAGCTCACTGCATTTTAGCAGTAAAACAGGATGGCACTGGTACTGCCTTCATTGCCTCGGTGTGAGTTATTCAGTTATTCGTGCGATGTCAGTGTGTTTATCCAGGACTTGTAGCTTGAAAGATAGACATGCCTGTATCACAGCTGATTGGGTGAAAAATAGACATGCCTTTATCACAGCTGATTGTTTCAATCCTGGTTAACGTTTACAAGATCATTATCCTCTCAAGTTTCGATGTAGGCTACCATTCACACAGACAACCGTAAATATGAAAATTATGACGGGAAAGTAAGAATTGCGAGAAATATAGTCGCAATTTCGAGAAATACATCTGAAATAGCTAGAAATAAAGTCGCAATTAATTAAACTTTCTCTTTTTTTCATGTGGCGAAATATGCATGCTTCCTTATATATGCAGAATAGTGGTCGCCTACATTTGCTACAGTGCAAGACATTTTTACAAGCATACAGCTGCGTAAGTCTGGACTGATGTTCACATGAAAAGATGGACAAATCTGCAAAACTCCTGCTTATAAAACATTAATATTACCATTTGTAGTTAATCCGTAAAGCAGTGTGTTTGCATAAGATAACCATATATGGTGTTTGTGCAAATGAATCAATAATCAATGCATGTGAGAGGTGGGGGTGCAGGGGGCGGGACAGAGAGGGTAGAGAATAAAAGCGGCTCAGAACAACCACAGAGATCACGAAGTCTGAAACAGGAAGGCTTGAAAGTTCCCTGCAAGTATCTGATCTGATTACTGCATCACCAGGTAAGTATGCAACTTTACATAGTAAATTTCCCAGAATATTTTACATGAACACCAGAGGCATCAGAAGCATTTTGAATTTGGGGGGGGGAACCCTCCCCCCCCAGAATTTTTTTAATGAATTAGATGCCATTTCCTGCATTCTGGTGTGTTTTTAACAGGTTGTTAAACACCTAATTTTACCTACAAAAGTCACTTAATTCAATGACTATTTTAGAGACTCACCAATAAGTACTCATTCAGCAAGTCCATATTCATCAGCCAGGGCATATAACAAAAGAATAAGGTTTTAGCAAAAGTTGGACATCGTGAGATGGCCATGGGACTGACGTTACCTCCTCCAGCATCGAGCAGGCTGCACCTTTACTGTCTATGGGCTGCACTGACGATTCACTGCACTAACGTGTAGTGAGCTGTTGTAGGTAACCCGGAAAACCCGGAGTGGTCTTTCAGTGGTATGTGTATTCTCATATCCATCA